CTCTAGGACCAATGACCTTAGCTCAGCCAGAGTTCATTGAAAAGCCAATTAGGCCCAGCCTTCAAACTGATGGAGTGGGCTTTTTGTGTTGGTGTTGTTAATACAGAGCGTTGTGGCATTAAGTTGATATATCTATATATATATATATATATATATAAATTAACTTGTAAGAGCTAAAAATATGGTGGGTTTATTTAATTATAGGCCCCGTTCAAACAAAAATATTTTTTTGTATTTTTCGGGATTTGGTAATCCCAAATTCAAATAAAATCTTTTACAGAGAAAAATAATTTCCCAAAACTTAACCAAAACAACTTGCTAATTAATCCTCAGAAAGTCATTTTCCGAACCTATCAATTTCACTCTCGATCTCATCAAAAAAAGCATGTGGCATCGAAAACGTCAATCAAGTACATGGAAGAATTATGTAGTGGCCAATAAAAGTCTAGAAAGAGAGTTTAGAGAGAGAAAAAGAGCGTCGAGAGAGAAATAAATGAGCCCTTTAATAAAAAAGAGTTTTTAGAGAGAGAGAGATGAGCCCTTTTACATGTTTATAGTGATCAGAAACAAAATAACTTTTAAGAGAAGAGCCAATAACCTTCATACTTATTGTGGGGCGACAGGCACAAGGTCAATCTCTTCTTTAAAAACAATTATACAATTTCCTATTTTTCATTTTTTCAATTTGTTTTTATTATTATATTTTTTTGTCATCATTAATATTGGTTTACTGATTAACATTTAGTATTACTTTCTAAAACCTTAAAAAGTGATAGGTAAAGTGGAGGAAAAAAAAAACTCACTTGTTGCATTCGATGATAGAGAGACTTGATTCGGTTTCCTTATCATTTTTTCAAAACTCAATTGATTATTTTTTTATATTTGTTGTCAAATAATTATTATTGTTGGTATAAAAATAATTGGACCAATTGATAGTAAGAAAAAAATTGAATAATCAATGACTCAAATAAGAATTTTAATTTTAATTCAAAAATACTTTTAGAAACCGAACACTAAAAATATTTTCTGAAAAATATTTTTAAAATCTTTGCTAAACAAAGAAAAATAAAAAATAAAGAAAACATTTTACATGGAAAAATGTTACATAGAAAACATTTTACAAGTGAACAAACAGAGCTATAATGTGTTAGTTTCAAAAGTGAACACCCATAAGTGTGATGGACATTTGTTGGCTGACACACAACAAATGATATGAGACTGAGAGGAACATAAAAAGAGACCATACTCAGCACAAAACAATTTGGAAAATAAACAGTAAGCATTAGAAATGTAGTCCCTTTATTGAGGTGTAAAAAAATGGCTTCTTAGACTATCTCCAATGTAAAATATTATTTTTGTATGCCAAATCTATATTTTGACAGGTGATACAGTGTCAAAATGGTATATTTTAGCAATTCTGCTCCAATGATGCATTTCATGCAAAATACTATTTCTTGACACAACCATCATTCTTTTTCAACTATCATTCTCACCATTCATATTTGCATCAGTAATATTAATATTAGGCACATTCTAAGTCAAGTTGTAGACATTAAAAGGAAACTAAAATTAAAAAGAAGCAAAAATCTAAAATATCTGGTCAAAAAAGGACAAAAAAAAAAAAAAAAAAAAAAACAAAAGAAAAAAAAGAGAGATAAAACAAAATGACATAAAAGAAAATAAAATTAATGTGATAAAAAATCCAAAATCTATTAAAGGAATTCTAGAAAATTCTAATATGGAGCACATGAATTTCAACTAAGTGAAGCAACAACATACTGTCTATATATAATGAAAAACAGAGTCTATCAATAGAGATTGTTAAAAATATCCAAAAGTAAAAATCCCTACTTTTTTTTTTTATTTTTTATTTTTTTATTTTTTATTTTAAGAATAATACTAATAATAATAACACAATCTAAACAAAAATTCCAAAAATTAGATTAATATAAGAATGCTAGAAGGACAATTAATTTAATTCCATTAAATTACAATTTTTTTATGATCTTTTTTAAATAACAATATAAAGTGTGTGTATATATATATTTGAACTTGCCCTCTCTCTCTCTCTCTCTCTCTCTCTACAACTACAAACTACAAAATCTACAAGAATCAGAAGTTCAAACCCATATCGGAATATAATTTCAGATTGTTCAAAAAGTCAAAACCTATATCTTTCAGTTTCCATTGCCCGCTGTTCCAATTCGGGTTCGCCGTTTGCAAGCTTCAGCCACTGTCTCTCAACTCTCAAGCTTGCCCCCCCCCCCCCCCCCCCCCCCCCGCCCGCTATCTCTGCAACTACTAACTTGTACGTATGGGTTTTGTTTTAATTTTTTTTTTTTCTAAATCAACTAATCAAGGTATGTAATTCTTGTTTTGTAAACTAAATCCTATTTGGTGAAACTTTTTATGATCTTTTTTAAATATATATATATATATATATACATACAATATATATATCTGAACCCCCCCTCCCCCTCCCCCTCTGTTGTTCTCTTTCTGAAATAGCAGTAGCTATTTCTTGTGCTACAATTGGCATCAGTTTTGGCAAAGTTAAAAATTAACAGCCCATATAGCATTGCATTGGAGAGCCCATTTTTAAGCCCACTTGCTATATTTTAGAAATGGCAGCCCATATAGCATTGCATTGGAGATGCTCTTAGAATGATGGTCGATCTATTATTGGCTTGAATAGATGTCACCTATAAAGACCCTATATATGTTGGACAGGTTGGGAAAGGTGAAACCTTAGAGCTCGTGTACTTGGTTACTTGAATAGCTTCCCATGGCCAACCAGAATGGTCAATCATTCGATCAATTTTGAATCAAGTTTTAGTTTATTTTAAATTTTACGTGATTTATTCTTAAAAAAGTTTCGACTCTAAAATTCTGGTGTCACTTTCAACCTTTACTTCATTTACTTGCTATGTGTGTTTGATTTAATTTTAATTTTTAAAATAATAAAAAATCAAATAGAGGAACAAGTTTCATCTATTGACCCCTATAGGCTGTTTTGAATCGAACTTACACATCCCTTTTGCATAGCGCAACATACAAATATAGTTGTGAGAATAAGGTCAAACGTAGTTAAGTCAAACTTCATAATTTTATGTATAGATGGAATTTTGAGAGTGATATGACCGAACCTATAATTTTTTTTTACGTAATGAGAATCAGGTCAAATGTAGTTTGAATTTGTCGATCTCAAAAATTGGAGTTTTAATAATGGTATGACCGAATTTAAAGTTTTCTAGGTTGCCTATATATCCCAATTGTGAATAACATGATAAGAATTAGGTCAATCGTAGTTCGTTCTAAATGAACTTGAAAATGAAAACATAAGAGTCAAAGTATCATGGAATTGTTTCGAGGAAAGAACATAAGAGTTCTTGAGTTGAGAATGTTTTTTGAAAAATATGTTTTGTTTAAAAAGAGTAACTTTGAGCATAAGAGCCTCTTGAAAAGTGTTTTTGAAAAGAGAACTTAAGAGCTCAGGAGAAGGACTATGTTAGTGTTTGCACCATATAAATCTTTTAGGACATATGGTGTTGTTTGATTGGAAGAGAAGATTTATACCATGTTATTAAAATAGGACTCTTATTTTTTATAAAATAAAGTCTAAAGTCACGTAAACTTGTTTCAAAACAAAGTTTGGATAAGGACAAGATAGATAAGGTTAAGACAAAGTTAGTTTTTATTCAAATGATGTTTGAATTTTGAAAAGAAATTGCTGCTACGTTTCTCTATAAATAGAAGAAGAAGGAAGCCTTGTGGAGACATCTCACGATCATTTAACAACTTTAGTTTTTACTTCTCTACAATTTCATTCAACCTTTAAATTGTATTTTACTTATGTTCATAGGAGTAGCCTCTAGTGTTAGAATTCCACTTCTTGTACTCTGTATAAGAATTTTACTTATGAAATAAAAGTCGACACTTGGCATTAGTCCCTTTTACTTTTATTTTCTAAGTCTCTTAGAATAGATGAATGCTTGTGTAATTTGTTTTACTCCCTTCATCCATTCTACTTATAGTACTGAAAGTCCTTTTTATTGAAGCATTGAAGAACCTGAAAGAATGGGTTATCCTTGCCTTCCAATAATTGCCTTATTCACTAAGGGTCGATTTTATATTTGGTCAGCACCAAGGATAGTTTAGCTATTTAACCTCTTGGGTCGAAAGACTCTGGCACGCCCCCTAAAAAAAAGAGCCAAACAATTTAGCACGCCCGGTGGGACACCAAGAGTGTTTAACTTCAATTTTTATCTATGGCATTTACTTAATCTCAGTTGCAAAATTTGCCTGAGAGACAGCCTCAACATCAAGAACAAGGGGCTGAATTCGAAGTGAATCAATAGCCTCAACATCAGGAACAAGAGGCTGAAGTGGAAGTGAATCAGTAGCCAAGTAATCAGATATTGGTTGAGAATGTTAACAACTTAGTGCAACGGATGAAAATTTCCAGCCATACCTTTCATAGAGCACTAGAGCCAATCCATAACACATTGGCTAATTTGAATGACTCTTTGACCGTCCTATCAACAAGGTTTAATCAACACCTTATGGCACGGTCAAATACTACAGATACTTTGATACATGTACAACAACAAGTTCCAGCGCCTGTTAGGGTTCAACAGAATTACTACCAACAACAGCGACAAGGGTTTCAACCCCTTCTGCAGCCGTTGCATGGACAGTATCAACTGCAGGCCAATTAATCGCTGGCTAATCAGCCGTAATATCAGATACCAGCGGAATATCAACCAATCGGAGGGGCCAATCAAAATGTGAATTGGCGACCACTTAATCCAATTTATCAACACCAACCGTTGGTATGTTAGCCCCAAGAGGGGCAAGATAATTTTTATGCTGGTTTTAATTTTCTTGCACCTCAGCCTCAGGCGCCGTATGTGCCTCAGTCTCAGGTGCCAAATATGCATCAGCCTTAGGCACCTTATATGCATCAGTCTCAACCACAACAACCAAATCATCAACCCCTTATGGTTGATAGAGATCAACTGGCTAATTTAATTCAAGAAACTTATAGACCAACCCCAAGAAGAGTTGGTCGCCTTACATATAGGAAACCATATCCGGACTATATAGACCGATATGAGTTTCCAAGAGGCTATAAAGTTCCCAATTTCGTTACTTTTTCGGGAGAAGACTCCACTTCGACCATAGAACATATTGGTCAGTTTACCATTCAATGTGGTGAGGTTGGAGCAAATGAATTCTTAAAATTAAGGCTATTTGCTAATTCCCTTACAGGGATCACATTTTCTTGGTATATAAGTTTACCAGCAAATTCGGTTTATACTTGGCAACAATTGGAAGAAATGTTTCATACCCAATTTTATAAAACTGAACCAGATGTGTCGATGACTGACTTATCTAGGTTGTCCCAAATGCTTGGAAAGATGGCTGAAGACTTTATTGGTAAGTTTAAAAGGGTGAGACATAAATGCCAAGTATCCCTTCTAGAAACTGAATATATGAGTCTAGCATTGAATGGTTTAGACTTTGAATTACGAAAGAAATTTGAGGGAATGCAATTTCAGGACTTGTTTCAACTAGCCTCTAGTGCCGCAAGGTATGAAAAGGTCCTAAAAGAAGAACAAGATAGAAGGAATGCCTCTAGGGGTACCTATTACAGGGACCCAAATTATGAAATTCATATGACAGAGGCGTCAAATAATTATGTCAAAGATCCTACTTACGAGATTCATTTGACAGAGGCTGAAATTGGCCTTGAAATCGATGCTGCTGAAATTAATATAAAGAAACCATATTCATGTTCAACATTGACTAAACCAGCCGAAACTGTTAGTAGTGTTCAGCCACCAAGTTCAACGGCTAAAAGAACCTTAACAGAGGCCGATAAACAATACGCTTTCGACATTACAAAGGCTGATGAGATTTTTGACCTTATGTTGGCTGATAAAATAATTGGCCTCTCAAAGGGACAAAAAATCCCTTTGAAAGATGAATTACAAAAAAGAGATTATTGTAAATGGCACAATTCTTATCGCCATTCAACTAATAATTGCATTGTTTTTTGTTCTAAATTGCAGAACTTGATCGAGAAGAAGTTGCTTCGTTTCCTTGAAAAGAAGTAAGATAAAATGGGTGTTGATGATAACCCATTTCCAACAGTAATGGCTAGTAATATGATCTCAGTTAAGAACTTCAATCAACCAACTAAGGATGATAAAGTTGGTGAGAGAATGGTCAAAAAATTAGAAAAAAAATAGCTTGTTACAGTGGCTGAACATAGAAGGGCCATTGAAGAGATGGAAGAGAGGTTGAGAAAGGCGTAGATTGACTTGATCAAACAAGGGTGTTGTCTAAGTTGTAAGAGAGATTGGAGCACTGCTATTGTTGGACAGTCAAAGGATGATTGTAATTATAAAGGGCGTGAGAGATTAACCTCTAAGTTGAAAAGCATCTGTGGTTCTAAAACTCCCTCACCACCTAAAGCATGGTTCAACAGTCATTATCGGCGCCCTATGGCCGAAAGATTGTCCTTACCCAGGGAGGCAAGTCCAATATCATCTATATCGGCACCTTCAAAGTTCAGGAAGCCGAAGGAGTTTGCTTTCGGCCCTAGAGGGCTGATTAGGACTTTTAACCGTATGGGTTATGAAGGACCAAGAAAATATACATCAAGTCCTATGGATCGTAACTACAGGCCTAGAGTGGTTAGACCAAGAAATACAAATGACCGTGAATGGAATGTTACTTATAATCCAAAATTCTCAGCAATTGAAGATTGGATTCGGCCTCCTATGACCAAAACTCAAAAACGGAGGATGTAAAGATTTCGATCCCAGAAACGGAAAGAAGAATTCAAGGATTCAGCCCCACAACCAGAAGAGACTTGAGTCAGATGGGACCGACGGAGTCATAAGGATTTTGAACATACATGGGTTGGTTATGAAATGACTGAAAAAGGGGCTGAAAATGCTGAACAAAAATCAGTCACAGACCTAGGTATGTCATCATCTGTTGAAATGCCTTGTAATCTTAATGTTGATAAAGAAAATGATTCAGGCATTAAAGATGATGATGATACATTCGATGATCTCTTGTATAATGATTTATCAAATGATGATATCATGAATGATACATTACTTGATGATATGCTTGAAGAACAAGCAAGTGATATGCAAGAAATTCAGTTCGGTACTATACCAACAAATGTTAGTTGCAATATGACTTTTACTTTGCCTTTGGTATTTGAAGCAAAACCTGATCAGCCCTCTATGTTAAATAGAGATATTGAGGAACCAGATAATGAGAATGTGCCCGAAATTTTTGGTTATAACCATAATTCAACACCTTTGGTTCCAGAAGAAGGGTTAAGAGTTGTGATGGTGAAAAATAAAGTTCAGTATCAATTGGAGAAAAGTATTCGAGGTGAAGGTCCTATGAGGGTAATACTAGAAAAACCAACTGTTATAACGTGCCAGCACCTAAGTCCGTTATATATCAAGATTTGGTTAGAAGGAGTGTCGGTCTCTAGGTTATTGGTAGACAATGGGTCGACGGTCAAAGTAATCTCAATGAAGATGTTGAAGAAATTGAATAAGACCGAAGAAGAATTCATGCCAACAGACCTTACTGTTAGCGGCTTTATAGGGGCATTAGTCTAAGCTGAGGGAGTCTTATCTCTTGAAACAACGGTTGGAAATAAAACAACCATGGTGGTGTTCTTTGTGATTAAGACCGATGCAACATACAATGCTTTACTCGGTCGTGATTGGTTACATCCTAATTTTGGCATTCCATCATCCCTTCATCAATTCCTTATCTTTTGGAATGGTAATGAGGTCGAAATAGTTTGGGCAGATAGTCAGCCGTTTGTTGCAACAGTAAACGTCACTGAAGCTCAACTCTATGAAGATGACGTCGGCCCCATAAGGCTGATTACAGGAAATGTGGATGAAAGGCCTAGGGGGCAACTTGGTTGAAAGAAGTTACCCTTAGAGACATTGAAGAACTTTGCAAAGAGTTCGAGCGACCGACTGCTGTGTTTGTTCAAAGGTCGGATGCTACTGCTGCTGTTAAAGGGGTTGATGATGAGTGATCGACCTAACAAACAACTTGAAAAGGAGTGGGCCCTATGGATAAGTATAGCTAGACTTCGGTCTTATTTGGCTGAAAAACGAATTATATTACTAGGAGAAGAGTTAATTGGTTCAATTAACATAGATGCTGACTAGCAAGAGGCTAATATTATAGGGACCGAAAATACGATCCAATTAAAGGATTTGAAGGCTGCTCCTTTAAAACTTGAAGACTTGAAGGCCGATGTGCAGGACACTTTAATTAAAATAAATTTAGGGGCCAAAGAAGAGATTCAGCCGACATACATCAGCACCTTATTGGAGCCTGGTATACAAATAACTTTAATTGCTTTGTTGAAAGAGTATAAGGACTATTTTGCATGGGATTATAGTGAAATGCCAGGTTTATCTCAGAAGCTTGTGGAACATAAGCTACCAATTAAAGAAGGTTTTCGATCGTTCAAGCTGCCGCCAAGAAAATTGGCGCCAGAAGTCATCTTGAAAGTTAAAGATGAGGTTGAATGGTTGCTTAATGCTGGATTTATCAGAATGGCTAGATATTGTGAATGGCTCTCTAATATTGTGCCAGTGCTGAAAAAGAATGGTAAGTTGTGAGTATGTATTGACTTTCACAATTTAAATACAACCACACCAAAAGATGAATATCCAATGCCTGTTGCTGATCAGTTAATAGATGTGGCAGCCAAACATGAAATTTTATCTTTCATGGATGGTCATTCAGGGTACAATCAGATTTATATTTCTGAAGAAGATGTGGCTAAAACTGCTTTTAAATGTCCTGGTTCAATCGGCACCTTTGAATGGGTGGTAATGCCGTTTGGGTTGAAAAATGCAGGTGCTACTTATCAGAGGGCCATGAATGCTATTTTTCATGATATGATTGGTCATTTCTTAGAGGTGTATATTGATGACATTGTAATTAAGTCTCCTTCTAAGTCTCAGCACTTGACCGAACTCAGAAAAGCATTCAACATAATGAGAGCACATGGGTTGAAGATGAATCCTTTGAAATGTGCTTTTGGTGTTACTACTGAAAATTTATTGGGATTCTTGGTACATCAGAGAGGGGTTGAAATTGACAGAAATAGGGCTAGAGCAATTATAGAAGCTCAACCACCAAAGAATAAAAAGGAACTTCAGCGGCTACTTGGGCAAATAAATTTCCTTCGACACTTTATTTCCAATTGTGCTGGAAAAGTTTGTACTTTTCTCCATTGTTGAAACTCAAAGAGGAAGAAGAGTTTGTTTGGAAAGATTAGCACCAAGAAGCTTTTGAAGCTATTAAATCCTATCTTTCTCGACCGCTTGTGTTAATGCCACCGAGGAAAGATCGACCCCTGAAGTTGTATATTTCAGTAGCAGAAGAGTCAATTGGAAGCTTGTTAACCTAAGATAATGAATGGGGTGTTAAACAAGCTATTTATTATTTAAGTCGTGTACTAACACCGATCGAGCAAAAGTATACGCCGATCGAGAAATTATGTTTGACTTTGTATTTTTCAGCCCTTAAGCTAAGAACATATATAAAACCTATGCTTGTTTATATTATGTGTCAAACTGATTTAATTAAGTACATGTTATCAAGGCCGATCATAAGCAGTCGAATAGGAAAATGGTCATTAGCTCTTATGGAATTTTCTTTCCAATATCTTCCTAAAAAATCAGTAAAAGGAAGAGCTTTGGCTGATTTTCTTGCAAATCACCCATGTGTTAAAATAAGTCAGGAAATTTCAGAATTTGGTGAGACTTGTGTAATCAGTCTAACACCTTGGACTTTGATATTCGATGGCTCAAGCACTAGAGAATGTGTTGGAGCAGGGGTTGTGATTATTTCTCCTAAGGGAGAAAAGACAATATTCTCATTCTTTTTAGATTTCAAGTGTACTAGTAATCAGGCTGAATATGAAGCCTTAATTATTGGTCTTGAAATTTTATAAAAAATGGGAGTTTCAACCATTAAGATCATTAGAGATTCTGAACTTGTACTTAAACAAATCTCTAATGATTTTCAGTGCCTTAATTGGAACCTTTGACCCCTGTATTCAGTTGCTACACAACTATTGGGTCAATTTGATGATGTAACAATTCAGCTGAGGGCTTATAATAAAGAGGCTAATGATTTAGCACAAATTGCATCTGGCCTTAAAGTGCCAGAAGGATGGGTTGAACGGTTGATAAAAATTCAGAAGAGACCGTTACCATCAATTCAAGATAGAGAAGAAACTTCTTTTGAAGTTTACCCAATAGAGGCTAAAGAAAATAATCAACAAATAGACGAGAATGATTGGAGGTGGCCTATTATCAAATACCTCAAAGATCCAATGCCTGAGACTGATCAAAAAATAAAACAATAGGTGTTGAATTATGTCTTGCTGAGTGATGTCTTATTTTGAAAAAGTGCCACTATGGAAGAACCTTTATTGAAATGCCTTGGAGAATTGAAGGCATTGAAAGTTATGATAGAGGTTCATGAAGGGTTGTGTGGTGCACATCACGCAGGACAAAAAATGAAGTGGTTGATACGAAGGTATGGTTATTACTGGCCTAAAATGTGGAAGGATTGCATGGACTACTCAAAGGGTTGTCAAACATGTCAAAAGTATGGGCCAATTCAAAGAGTTCCTGCTGAAGAACTTCATTCCATCATTAGACCATGGCCATTTAAGGTTGGGCGATGGACTTGATTGGAAAAATTAATCCTACCTCATCTAAATAACATTCTTACATAATTGTAGCGACCGATTATTTTACAAAATGGGTTGAAGCTATCCCTACAAATTCGGTCACTGGGAATAGTATAGTTGAACTTCTTGAACAAAATATTATCCATATATTTGGTATTCCTGAATCAATAACGGCTGATAGGGATTTGTCTTTATATGTTATGAAGTTCAAGTGATGGCTGAACAATATCAATTTCAAATATCGAATTCAACGCCTTATTATGCCCAAGGCAATGGCCAAGCTGAATCATCAAATAAGTCTATTAAGGCTGTTATTGAAAAGATGATTGATAAAAATCTAAGAGA